ACGCTTCTGCGCCGTCCCGGGAGAATGGTACCGTCGCCAAGTTTGCGCGCCCTTTCATAGTGACCCTTTCCTTGTAAGCACATCAGTTCGATGAGGACCCGGGACGACTTCCAGTCCGATATAAGCTGCATCCTTTTTCTCCGTTCTCCTTGGTCAGTCACAGATGGATAAAACTTCTCTATCGCCTTACCAGTGTCATGAATTACGTCCAAAAAACAAGCACTTCCAGCTTGTGCTTGTAGGTAAATGACGTGCGGCTGTAAGTTTTTGGTTTCTTACCCGTACCAGTGGTGCACTGACGCCCCATAACAGACCTGAAAATACAAGATGTTCGATGTCGACACGAAGCAGAATCACAAGTGGGTGTCAGCTCCGTTTTAGCGGTGTCGGTGTAGCGTTTTAGTGCGGGCAGAAGCTCACAACATATGAACTCCATTCAGGTTTCTATTGGCTAATATGGTCTGTCGGCAATGAGAAAACGTCGGTTATGAGAGGGGTAAGGCGGTATGCTCCTTGTCGCAACAATAGAGTACACAACCCCTGAATTCTTGCAGAAGGACGTATCACCTGATAACGCACACTATTTGTAAAGGTGGCCACTGAGTCAGTAGTGACACTGACCGCTGGGTAATATCTGGATCAATGATGCAAGCAAATCAACCGACGATTCCGAACCTCTCGCCATGCCATCGACGACTCGCGGCCTCGAATCGGGCAACACTATGTACGCTTGGTTTCTCAGCATCTACAGTAGTCATTCCATCGATGGACTCGAAAAAATTCATAAAATCAGTGATCCAGAATCAATATTACAGGCAATGATGGTGGCTGTAAATTGTGTCCAGCTTGACAAATCTCTTTTTTTGTACTGTTTGTGAGCCTACAAAACCGCGAGCGTTAGCACATCCTTGCTATTTTGAAGCATGTTTTGCAACTTGTGTGAAAACCGCACCGTCAAATAATAAAAATTGAATGAGTTATGGGCACTCGACGAGGTGGCCGTATAATTGTGTCCAGGAGTGTACCTCGTGGTTATTGTTATTTACAAAATTAAATTTACTGAAATTTAAAAAGAAGGTTTGAGGGTCATTTTCACATGTACATCCTTAATCTGGCACAAATCATATTTTAAAGCAAACATTTTTTAAAAACGTGTACCAGGGTTGATTACTACACTGCGCGACAGATCACATCGGACACCCACTTACAGTGCTCTAGCGCCGTCAATACTGCGAGTTAGGCCATATGATTTAGATATATGCGAGTTGTTGACAGTAGGAAAAGCCTAGAGCGCTAACGAGCGCGGATTCGGCCGCTGTGGGGGACCTCCAATACAACTTTCCACTTTCAGCTCCACGACAGATCAGATCGGACAGTACAGACTTTACAAAAATCAAGTATATTTTAAAGCTGAAAGCACTCGTATGTCTGCTGATGTGCCTTCTCCTCCGTAATCTGCTCCAACTAGAGTCCAAGCCAGTCCGTTGCTCTGATGTTCCAGGGTGATACTGGCTCCCGCCACCGAGCCCACGACGACCGTGCCTCTTGCAGGCCGTCCGGTTGCAACTCCCATCGATATTAATTTTCCAATTCTGGCGGGTGTCGTAAAGTGAGCTCTTTCGTAATTGCCAATGTTGCTCCCATGGGTACGACCGGGGCGTTCATCAAGATCGCCAGACCCCACCTCCGTAGCTTTGCCTGTTGGTGCTCCTCCTCCCCAGCGACCGGTATGCTGAGGGAATACGTTTTCGAGCTTATTCGTGTGATCTGAAGCTCTTCCAACGTGCAAGGTTGGATTCGGTTGAGCTTCTTGGCACTCAGGGTTCTGCCTACGTTATCGACAATCCACGGGTTGTCATTCCACGTGTACGCCGGCCAGTAGAGTTCTTCTTGTGTACTCATTTCGCGCTGTGTACACCCGAGCTCCCATGGTAGCTCGATGATCCACGTCCCCGCTGCAGTCCAACTGATTGATTCCAGTTCTAGTTCATTTATTGCTATCTGGTATTCCAGTATAGCTTCGCCTTCCAGCTCTGCGGTGGGTTGAAAACATTCAACGACTAGCTGGTGTAATTTGTCTCCTGGTGATACTCCTGCTGAGTGCAAGGATCGTGTGAGCTTGTTTCTGGGCGTGAGTGTATTCTTCCAAGCAAGTGATGTCCCTCGGAACATCCAATGCTTCCACGCCTGCCAATACGAGTCTTTGCGTTGGACTAGCCAGAGGATCGTTTGTTTTACCCTCTGGGTCTTGCACGCCACCGGGATTGAGACGAGTCCCATTCCTCCTGCCTGATTAGGTGCGAAGACTAGGCCTGGAGCGACCTTGTGACGGGTACTCTCTGTTGCCGTTGCATGCCTCCACAGAAATTGTTTTTGCAGATTCCTGAGTTGCTTGTCTGCCCATTTAGGCATGTCGAAGGCCGCTGCTGTGAATAGAACCGAGGGAAGCATAATGACGTTCAGGATGGTGATCCGATGGTCGATGCTTGTTCCCAACTTCGTTGCCATCGCTAACCGTCTTTGGATGTTGCGAATCCTGCCTGCCCAGTTGATGTTTGTCAACGGCTTAGTGCCCACTTGATAACCCAAATATCGGACGGTGTCATCTCGTTGAAGGACCGGTAGGCCGAAGAACTGGTGTTCTTCGATCGCCTTGTTTAAGAAGATGAGCTGACTTTTGGCTGGTTGCACCTGCAGACCCGAGAGTTGACCGAAGCGCTCTACGATATTCATTACTTTAGGGATCTGGTGAGCGTGCTGCAGGAATACTGTCGAGTCATCTACGAACGCAGAGAATAAGTGCCGCTGTCCTCCTGTTCCTGGGACTTCCAGCCCTTGCAGTGTGGTGTCCTGCTTCATCGCCAGTGCTAATACTTCCGCCGCTATTATAAACAATAACGGGGCTACTGGACAACCTTGACGAATACCCGAGACAACTGCCTGCGATTCGGAGAGTTCTCCATTTACAAAAAATCTTGCCGTTGTGCCATTATGCAGCCGCCGTAAGAGACTCACAAAATCTACTGAAAATCCAAACTTTAGTAACGCCAGAAACAGGAATTCCCGCGAGACGGTATCATAAGCTTTTCTGAAGTCGAGAAGGAGAATCACTCGACTTAACAATGCCGAGAGTTCCGGCTCTCCTCGAGCCGTGGCGGTCACAGCCAGCATCATCATGACGGTCTTCATCATCTGTCGGCCGTGCACGAATTCCTGTTGTGAGTCGCCGATCGGTTTGCCGATGACTTTCTGCATCCTGCACGCCATTACTTTCATGAAGACTTTGTACGCGGTCTGTAGAAGTGAGATTGGTCTGAAGTCCATGGCATCTACCGAGTCTCCTTTCTTCCTAAGAGGAATCATCAAACCCACCAGGAAGGAGGGAGGCGGTTCCGCTCCCGCCAGCAACTCGTTTCCTATCACTACCATTGCTGGAGCAAGGACTGGCTGAACGTCCTTGAAGAAGTCATTGTTTAGCCCATCTAGGCCGGCCGCTTTGTGTCGCTTGAGTTCGGCAATGGCCCCGAGTACCTCATCAATCGTGATTTCAGCCATTAATTCTCCATTTTGTTGCGGAGTTATCTGCCGATCTCCAGGAATGTGTACAAATTTGTCGAATTCCTCCTGCGGTCTGTTTGAGGAACAGTACTGTGAACTACTCCGAGGATTGGTTTCCATTCAGAGCCAAATTTGTCTGCTATCTTCATTTCTCTGTGAAATCGGTCTCCATGGAGGTGATGAATCTCAGCAATGGATTGATCTTTCTCCCAGTTGGAGATCCGCTAAAAATTCCAACGCAGTTGGTCCATTGTCCGTTCCAGGCGCTGACCTAGCCGTACTAGCTGCTCCTCACGAGCATCTTCTTCGTTTACTTGTAAGAAGTCCCGCCTGGTGAGGAGGTGGGCCCTGTTTTTGGGCTTTCAACCGTTGTTTCACTCGTTTTCTACGCTTGCGTTCGCGCTTTTGGATAATCCTAATGCTGCGTACACAAACCTTCGGCCGCGTGGTCCCATGACTTGCTCGTGACTTGATAGCCCACTCCCTGCTTTATTAGTTCCTTCACGAGTTCCGGTTGCAACACAGTGTGTCTAGAAGTCCGGATGGGGTACGTGACACGCCGTGTTGACCTGTTTCCTTGCTTCGGTTGTATCCTGTCATGCTGCAGGTACAGGCATACACACTGATGATCGGACTGTGCTTCTGGCTCTCGAGCTTCCACCCACTGTATATCTGCCGTCCAAGCTGACGGTACGTAAAAGCGATCGATCCGACTGGCGCTGCCCGCTCCCCAATAGGTATAAAAGTCCGTCGGGTCTGGGTCCGCGTCATCAGTTCCTGCTTCGCCTTCCAGGGTGACGGCGTCTTCCAGGTCGAGATCAGTGATTAGTTCTAGTAGAGCCCTGCTCTCCGGTTTGGGGCTGCGTCTGCCCCCCATGCGATCTAGTGGCGGACTCTGTACGCAGTTAAAATCCCCTGCTAGTATTACTTCCTCTTTGGGCCAGTTCCAACCCCGAATTCTGTTGAAAAACGATTCCCTTTCCGTTGGGGCGTTGGGGGCGTACACGTTGACTAGCAGTTGTCCGGCGATGCGTACAGCGATGGCTCTGGCGCTCCATTCTGCCGTGTTCCATGGTTTTGCTAATTCTGCGTGGTCTGGGTCCAGGAAGATCGCTACGCCTCCTACTTTGGACGCATTAACACTCCAATACGAGAGCAGAGGTGCGTCCGGATTGTTGTGTTGACCCCACAGCCTTTGCCAAGACTCCTTCAGCCTTGTTACCTCCTCGTCTGTACTAACATGGGTTTCCTGCAGCAACCACGCCACAGGTCTTGCTCGGACTGGCGTTCTTCGCCAGGCTCGAAGCCAACTCATTGGGCTCTCTTGTTTGAAGCCTCTCACGTTCTGGATCTGGAACCGTTGCTCCCCTACCCTTCCTTTTCTTTTCCTCCCTGCGCCGAGCCCCGGCTCGCGCAGTGCGCGTAGACGCCCGTAGGCGTTCCCAGCAGCCACCCCACTCTTATCCCGTGCTTGAGGTTGCTGCTGCTCCTTGCCACCCTTAATATGGGTGGCCGCGCTCTGGCCCCCCTTGCTCCAGGGCCGTGGAGAAGTAGCGCGCGAGGGCATACCAATCCACCTAGTTGTTATCCGCTGAATACGCAGTATGGAACTCCGACACTGTCCGCAGTGCGAACAAGTGTCGTTTGAGCCGCGTCAATGCACCGTTCTCACTGTCCGATTCTCGTGCTGTTATCGCTCTAATTTCTTTTTCAAAAATTAGGGCGCACATGAGATGCTGGGCCAGCCGG